CGTCTGCTGTGGTTCCCTGTGGTTGGTTTGTCGTGCTCGTGGAAGACCGCCTGAGAGCAGTTATTAAATTCGCACAATCTCGGCTTTACTTTCTCCTCCCATTCTTACCTAAAGCCAAGACTAGGCAAAACGTCTCTAGCTGAGCCTGGATGTGGTGGCTAGTCTGGTATTCAAGCGAAAATGCGAGTCCCAGGAAGTAGATGCGAACACTGGAGACAAGAACTTTATTTGACTGACCTATCGGATTCCAGCTCGAATCCATCTTTAGAGACAGCATGAGATAAGTGTAATTCGTACAGAGGAAGTTGCAGTCTTTATAGGGTGTAATCGCTAGGCTACTGTTTACCTATGACAAATAACGGCTTCTCGTTTATCGAAGACGATTGTCTTCTGGTGCGCCAATTGCATGAGGGTCAGCGGGCGGATATCTCGTTTGTCACAAAGTCTACGCGCAGTTCCAAGTCTCATACCAAATCTAATCACCCGAGACTTCTGCTCTCAGAATAAGTAACATGATTAAGCTACTGACAAATAGATTAACTGTGAACAGTAACAGTTATTTTCTGCATAAACTCAGTGTGACTGTTAAGCTTAACACTGCGTCTATACTGTTTAACATTTGCCGCTGTAATCTCCATCGCCAAATGCAGCCTTGTACTGTATTTGGTCTATGACGTTTCGGATAGTCGTCTCGTCTCCGAAACGTCAGATACCAAATAAACCTCTCCAGTAGAACACTCTTCTTCTGACTTATCAACTGAGAATCGAATTTTCACTACCTTTACTACCACAGCCTTCTACGATGTCTAGGCGAAGTCAAGGTCATCAGCTGTCACGCTATCCTTCTGCACTTGCTCTCTCCTCATCTGAGGGTTTGCCACTTAATTTTTCAAAAATTTCCGTGATTTCCTCCTCTACCTGTTCTTTTGTATTGCATCACTTCGAGTTACGCCTCAAGGTTGAAGTGATTAGGAGTTCTTATTCTGATTAAATCCATTTTCTTCCCGAAGACTGCACTTCCTTTGCTTTTTTTTTCCTTTTGCTCCTTAGACACCCTTGTTACAATCGTCGGTAGTGCGTACCGCGGCAGTGAGACAACCGGCAGTTCAGGTTTTGTCCGATACGTGGGCCTGCCTCCAGGTTAACAGTTTTTTCTCTGCCGTCCCCCCTCCCCCTCTGCATATATTAACAATAGGCTGAAATACATTACCGACAAAGCTAAGGGAGACTGGAATGGTCATTTCTGACTTATTAGCCCTCATCAGGCAGCCATATCCAACCCCACCGTTGGCGACCCTGAGGTTTGAACTCGCGACCTTGTTAGTTAGGAGACCGACGCTCTAAAAACTAACGAACAAGGTCGTGGGTTCGAATGTCGGGAGGCGCCACCCCTGGCGTTGGACATGGCTGGCTGATGACGGTCAATAAGTCAAGCCAAGTTTATTAGGGGAAATATAGGCAAACTCCTTTGAACTCCCTATTGGTACACAGTAGTTAAGAAATGCATCGGCACAGCCGAACCTTTAAAAGAAGGTCGTTTACATAGCTGTAGCCGACTACTCACTTGTTCCATGTAATATAATCAGGTGGAGTGATGTCAGTTAACACGAGCCAGCAGGTGTAATTGAACAAAAAGTGCAGGCAGTGAAAAAATCCTAAGGCATGGCTGAGAATTCAAAAATGGAAAGTCATTTGTGTTTTTTTTAGAAGAAAAACTGTCGCTCGTGGGAGAACGTATGTAAAAGGTAGGACTGGCATGCTGCTATGAATGTTGGCGGCAAGTCAGGGGGCCCCATCCCGAGTAATATCTTTACCCGAAGGGCCACACGAGAAGGAGACCGCAGAGTCACTAGAACATCCTGAAGAACTGGAGATGCGACTATGATTCGTCCTTGCTGTGACAAAAACAGAGGAACCCGCAACGGTCGTCCGCAGTCGATTTTTAGGTCGATATGAGGAAGAGCGTGATAAGGTTGTGTAGCCTAGGACCATTGGAGTGTTAGAGGCGACTGCAGACGCGATCATTGCAGCTCGCTTAGTGAGAAGGAGGCAGCACGAAAGTATTGGATATGCACGGCGGAAAATACTTCGATTAAATAGTAATACTACTTAAAAATAGCTATTAGCATACGTATAGCACTTAAGTGTTTGGTTTCAATGTTCGGTTTCAGAGAAGTCCATAGTAGTTTCAAGTGACGTAGTGGTACGTAAGGCTGTGCTGGTCAAACTTCGTCTTGGAGATACCCACGCAAGGAAACATGACAATGTTCGCAGTAAGGCATTCCATGCCTGAATTGGTCTCTCAGAGAAAAAGAATTTTTTGGGTCATGTCTTGCTCCAGTCACACGTAATTTGAGAGGGTATCCTCTCAGACTACTCAGAAATGGCCATTCCAATTTCCCTTTCCTTTGCTTCTGACTATGCTAGCCGTTAAGCGGCTGCTGGCTGGACTCGAGAGTGAGCTCCGA